TTACAAGCTTCCCATGACCGCGGCCGTTCATGTAGTCTCACGTGACAGAAGTTCTTGGGGAATATTACCACGTGACTAAGTATAAACTCGCGAAGCACACAGGCAGCCGGTCATAATGGCTCTGGTGTTATGTATTCATCCGCGCCACTATTTCTTTTTGTAGTATTTCCACCTTTCTTTTATTTTCACGGACTGTTAGTGAATTATTTTTTTATATTTGTTAGTTTCGTGGAAACTAATTGACAGTGATTGCGGAAATGCATGTTTAAGATTACATTTGTATAAATGCAACACACAAGTAATACTTACAAGGTGTGAAGAGAGTCTTGTTTCTTTTCATAGTTATTAGCCCATGTAATTCAAATTCCTGTCTCAACGGCGGCACGTGCGTGAGCATCCCTAACAGCTGTTCAACATACAACTGCATTTGTCCGACATGCTACTCCGGAGACTTCTGCCAAATTGGTAAGTGTTGTTCAAAACACACATGAAAACAACATTTTATAGATAATCGTACACCTTTACGCCCCCCTTTCTGTTCTGTTAGAACTCAGAATAGAATAGAAACTAAATTTATTATCTAAAGTCATAAATGCTTAAGTCTATAATATACTCATGGTGACTGGGGGGTGTCTTTGTGATTTGTTATATATACACCGTGAACCAGACATATTCCATTGAAAACTGAATTTCTAGTTTCCGCTGAACTTTGATCTGTGTTATTTTGTTTGTCAATAAAAAATGGAAACAATTTAATTGCTTTCGTCATCGAAATGTGTTTAAGCACATTTATGCCTTGTACCAATATAATTGGGAAACAAATACGTTGCCATGATAATATCGCCACCAAGTGTTCATATACTCACTATTCTCATGTATTTGTTTTTATTGCAGAGCAAAACCCGTGCAGCCCAAACCCATGCCAGAATGGCGCCACCTGTTTCCCATTGGGTTGCACTGATTTCGTATGTCAATGTCCATCATGTTACACTGGCACATATTGTACATCACGTGAGTAGATATTATATTATGAACCCGGCTTTAGTGTTTATTAGTGTTTAGTGTTGTATTTATTATTAATATGTTTTCTCGTGCATCGGGGTGGGGTTCGACATTGCCCGCGTCGGTATTGTTACTGTTGTGTTTAAAGAGAGGCAAACGTATCTTACGACCATGTCAGACCCTCAGATTGTCGTGAATGAGTCCGATTGCTGTACAGATACGTTGAATTGGACGGAGAAAAAAAATCAATATTTTTTTTTACAGAATTAAATGCATGTGCGAACCATCAATGTCAAAACGGAGGAGTTTGTGTCCCACAAGCTGGCTCGTGTACTTCGTATAATTGCCAATGTTCAGGTTGTTACTCTGGAACTTATTGCACGCAATGTAAGTAGTAATTCACAAATCTTTCACGAGAAATGTGATCCACGCACATCCACAGCTCTATTGGTCGTTGTTACTTTTTAAAAAGATTTTACTGACACAGTCTTAGATAAGATCCGAACTCAACATTTTAAAGGGCGGTGGTCGTGGCACTGCGCATGTGCGACATTTGTGTTCATAACATTGATTTTCTCACAATCCAATGCGCTCTTCTGATGAAAAGCACAAGTATGAGGATTGACCTGGGCGCGACTTGCTCTAATTAACCGCCGGTGACTCCTTCGATATCTTCCAATCACCTGAAAAATACCTAATTAGCGTGGTAATGTCTCAGTTTGTACTTGTCATCTTTGTTTATATGAGACCCACATGTCTCGCGCATGCGTGGCGTGACGACTACCCCGCCCTTTAAAATCATATTCCAAATTTCCCTATGCATGATTCGTATGTGGCAGATAATGACGACAGTATCGATGTATATTAATGTATATGTTTTATTCTTGGATGCTTTTATTTCTGTCACGGTTTTGAGCGTTGACACGATTTGTGATAAAATGTAACGTTTTTTCAATACAGATAGCGATCCATGCCAGAATTCACCGTGTCAGTTTGGAGGTGCATGCACTGCAGTTCCTGGCTCATGTGTGGCGTTTACTTGTCAGTGTAGTAATTGTTATACTGGTGCAAATTGCGAAACTTGTAAGTATAATTATGTTTTACTATGTGCTAATTTACTACTCACTGTCAGCCAAAAATTCTCGCATGAATGAATAGAGACGATAGTGAAATTACAACTTCTCCAAACAGTTTTTTTTTTATCTTATTGGTGTTAACAATTTATTTTTATAATTTTTTGTGGAAACGAAAAAACTTTATTTTTTCTAAACACAAACAAAACAATTTCAGAATCCGCACCACAGGAATCCCAGGAACTATGATCAACTGTACGCAGGTCTGGGGGGGGGGGCTATCGGTTGTCATGTAAGAAAACAAACAACATAATTATCGAAGCTGGGTTTAAAAAAAGTAGTGGGTTTAAATACGATCCTTGGTATTTGTCCAAAAACTTCTACAAATTACAAATATGACAAACACGGATACTAATCACGCAAATTTTTGCAATCTGTTTGAAGAAAGGTTGGACCATGTGGAAATTCAGTTGAACAAAACTGGTCATAATAAACTAAGTACTTATAAAACATTCAAAAATAATTATATATTTGAAAAATACCTGGATGATATAAACAAAAAAACAGAGTAGCATTAACCAAATTCCGTATTTCAGCCCACTTCTTGCCAATTGAAATAGGCCGTCACAGGGGAATAAATAAAATTGACCTGGTATGTAACAAGTGTGACTATGATGACGTGGGTGATGAAAAACATTACATTTTTTATTGTAAACATAAGAGTTTTTCAGAACACAGGAACAAATTCCTCTATGCACTATTTATATACTCACCCGATTATAACAAATGGAGAATTGTAGACAAATAAGTTTGTAGTATTTTAGCTAATTTTGTATTTCAGATTCTAAAATTAATTCAGATTAGCTATGTTACTTTATGTTTCTTATATTGGACTTTACTCAAGCATTGTTTTTGTGTACGTTCCAAATAAAATATCCTATCCTATCCTATCCTATACACACATTTTTTTTAAGTCTTCTTTAGGACCCCTCCTCTATTTTAATTGTATATGCCCCTCTTCAGGACATGTATAGCTGTCTGGAGGGAAGTTACAATTACTTTGGGGGGGGGGGTGGAGTGTTAGGCCAGGGGTCAGGGGTGAAGAGGTCTTAATTAAGGAAGTCTTTCTGAAAATGTTAACTTATATATATGTGTTTACACTTACAGTGATTGACCCATGCTCACCTAACCCATGCGGGAATGGTGGTTTTTGTGTGCAGATGTTCGAAACAACAGATTGTTATGACTACAGGTGCTATTGCCAAAATTGTTACACTGGAACCAACTGCGAAACATGTAAGTAATGTCCTCTATTCTGTCAGTAGCACCTTCAAATGGTAATACCATTAATTTATAATAATTTAATTCTTTTTTTTTTTTATTTAAGATGTAAATGTCTGTGCAAATAACCCTTGCCAAAATGGTGGCACGTGTGAACAATACCCTGGCGCGTGTAGTGTTTATACATGTTCGTGTCCTGAGTGTTATTATGGCCAGAATTGCGAAACACGTGAGTAAACAACATAATAACTTTAAGTATTTTTATGCTAGGAATTTCAAATGAACTTTCGCTCTGGCTTTCACTTGAGTATATGTACCCATCACAATCAGTGTATGTAATCTAGTGTCTTGTTGAATTATAGGACAGAATCCTTGTGCTAACAGTCCGTGTTTGAATGGAGGAACATGTATTTCAACATCTTGTTTTAATTACCAGTGCCAATGTCCGAGCTGCTACACCGGAGAATTTTGTCATATTGGTAAAAATAGTTAATTCAGTTTTCTCAACAATGGGTGATAATCTGATAATCATCTATCATTCAGGAAGCGGAAGTGAGAAAAAAAATCATTTTTGACAACCTGTAATGACAGTAGATGGATTTATTACACATATTTTTGTTACGTATATATTTATTGCTAATAATTGATATTAATGTTCTACTGTAAAGGGGTTAATTATACACTGGTTATTAATTTTGCTCATTTCACTGATTGGAAAATTAAAACCCATTGAATATGTAAAATTGAGCATTGAACACATTATCTAAATGATAAAACTGTGTATTTAAAACCCACTAAAAATGCCTGAAATGGTAAATCAGCGAAATTTAAACCCAGTGAAAATTAGTCATTTTACAGTAGGTCTAAAGATAAATAAAACGTTACTATTACTATTGCTATTACCCAGGTCTCAATGCATGTAATCCCAATCCGTGTCAAAACCAAGGTGTGTGTATCCAAACTGGTACTGGCTGCACATCATATTCATGCCAATGTATTGGATGTTATTCTGGAAGTCAGTGTAGCATATGTAAGTATATAGATTGGATTCATACTGCATATACCACATGTTTACATAAAATGATTCTTTGTAGTCATAATGCATTGCAAAGTAAAAATATACACATGTGTATATACCTGGTATATGTTATATATCGTTATATCTTGAAATTTCCTTGGAGACGTTTCTTCATAATCTGTATCAAACCAGAGGTACATTACTTGGGGTCTGCAACTACGGTGACATGATACCAAGATCCTGTTTCAATCTCGCTCTCGCATAAGCGTTCCAACTCAGAAAAATGTGAATGCGCATGCCCGAGGTAACTAGGATACTGGGCTGTTCAGGTGGATCAAAATAGCTGCTCACGATATGACGGATTACGATAACTATATTTTCTGTACATTTTCAATGTATTACATTTTGTCACTATGAATGTGGTAATACATGTTATATTGTTTTATTACAAACCGGCTATGTCATGTCAGAAGGTCGTAGCATCAGTCTCCCTATCTACGAGATGAGACTTGAATGGGATCTTGGCATGATGTCACCATACAGTACTATGCGCATTGCAAACCCCAAGTAATGTACCTCTGATCAAACCAACCATTATTACGAACATCTGTGTATACTGTGACTGTTTACAGAGAGACAAATTTTCGTGACTCGTTGAACCATCATGAAATTTTGATAGCAATGCCATAAAATGCTGAAATTACAAAAAAATTCTAGCGGTGAAATTTAACAATTACTGTATTGAGATGTGCTGTTCTTGTCTAGTTGAATGTACTATACTACCAGTATATGTGCTAATTTTGAAAAATAAATGATTTGTATAATTGTATTTCAGTCTTGGATCAGTGCAGCCCAAATCCCTGTGCAAATGGTGGCATTTGCCAACCGCTAGCGGGATCATGTTCACAATATCTTTGTCAATGCCAGGGATGTTTTATTGGTTCCAACTGCCAACAAGGTAAAATATTAGTTGGCTAACTGAGAGTCCAGATGATTGTCACTGGGTTTAATTTTTTTTCATTAATTTTACATTGTGCATCTTTCATGTATTTGCCATACATATTTTATTTTTAGTCTCCATTCGAACATGGTCTATAATTTTACCTCTGTGTGTCTGTCCGTGTGTTCATTTTTTTGCACCTGTATTTCAGACTTGCCTGGGTGTAATTAAAGATGGCCGAACGTTGACCTCTTTAATGCATTTCATGGATGTATTTCATTTAAACTTGATCCGTTCATAAAACATAATGTTCCTTGATGCACATGAATTTTATTCAAAATGGTTCCCTGATGGCTGATTTTTTTAACGAATGCTAATTTTTGAGCCATATTGCTGATAACATGGTTGGACTGATACATTTGCACATACATCAGTTTCAGAATCTGATTCACTAATTCAAGATGGCTGATCATCATTTTTGTGCTAGAAATGCATTATGAATGTCATGGATAGATTAAAAGAAGGAATCACTCAAATAATTAAACTGGCTCCACTTCGCAACATGTCTGTCACATAAAACTGGACGGAAACTTGTTATTGGCAATGACTTCTTCGTATAATGTTTGATTTTGATAATTCAAAATAGTTCATAGTTTTTTTTACTTTGAACACAGAAACAAACCCATGTTCTGGGAATCCATGTCTGAATGGTGGGATCTGTCAAGCTGCTTCCTGTCAAGAATTCTCTTGTCAATGTACTGGGTGTTACTCTGGACAAAATTGTGAGATAGGTATGATTGATTTTAATTTTGCAAATCAGGGAGCGGTTACCAGGAATCGATATCAAAATTTTGTGTGATTAAACTATTTGGCCTCAGATAATAGTAATTATGCATGAACTGCAGTAGTGTGTTGAATTGTTGTTTTCTTTGTTTATTGTGCCAAAGCAGTAAATTACATATCTCATGTCAAATATGGTAATACACCAGTGAGAAGAAATCAGCCAAGAGATCTTTTACTAAAGTTCACAGTTATAAAATGTTATTTTGTAACGTGAATATGGCTTTATGAGAACATCTATCCTGTTTTGTACATTTAGTGTACTGAACATTAGACTTTTGCAGTAAAGATGTTCTAAAAGATATTGTAATATTTTAAAATTATTTTTCTAGTAGGCAATCATTTTGTTCTCTCTCTGTAGCTGCCAATCCATGTGCTAACAATCCATGCCAAAATGGTGGAGTGTGCACAACAGTTGCTGGTACATGTTCATCTTACTCTTGCACATGTGGAAGATGCTACACTGGTGTCACTTGTACTACACGTGAGTATAGTTCCCTGGATTTAATAAAAACTAGGATTATCCGAGAAAAATCTTGTTGTTTCTATTTGATATAAAATTGAAATTTAATTACAAAAAAAATTGCAAATAGTTCTAACAGCAGTTATGTTGTTATAGTTACAGTTGGGGAAATTAAAGTTTCACTAACTTGTATATATTGAAAGAAGATTTAACATGATTTGTATAAATTTCTTTTCTCCAGTTATCGATCCATGCGCAAATAATCCATGTGCTAACGATGGATTTTGCGTCCCTAATTATGAGACAACAGATTGTAATGATTTTAATTGTTATTGCCAACAATGCTTTGAAGGACCAACCTGCGAAGTAGGTATGTTACCAATGTCTTTTGTCATTCTCCTTGACATGCTGAAAGCGTCTACGTTTTGTCTGTTATTGTAGTTTGCGATGCTAGTTGATCAGATTTGAGGCTAGTAAACAGGGCAGGAAGTCACACCGCCACACCGTTCCGAGGCCAGCAACTTATTTGCATATATCATCAAAAGTGACATGTCAATCAAAGAGCAATGTAAACAAACTTTTGTGACTTTTACTCACATACGCATACCTCGGGTTCCCATATTTAAAAATCGTGTTTTTGAATATGTTCCACCATTGACAGAGCTCCGAAATTTTAACACAACTCCCGGAATCTAGCCAAGACTGTCTGGGTAAGAAATCTCACCTGTATGAGTGTTAATAAATAACTCTGTTTTTATTCTAGCCATTAATGTATGTGCCAACAACCCATGTTCAAATGGTGGTACGTGTCAGCCCTACCCTGGTCTCTGTATGGTGGCTACATGTCAATGTCCAACTTGTTATACTGGTCAATACTGTGATATATGTAAGTTGTTTCTTCTCATTTCTGTTCTAACCATAGGTATTGCATGATTGTGAATGTCTTCAGAATTTATCATTGTAGCATGGATTTCATTTTAGAATGTATGGAGGTTGTAAACATTACCGGGGTAACACACCATTTCTATAAAGGGCATCCTCATGATGTAATTGTGACACAAGTACTATCAATCCTTGATATAATGCTGTACTTAATAAATGTTTTCCACAGTTCAAAATCCATGTTCAACTAATGCATGTGCTAATGGTGGTACTTGCGTATCAATATCGTGTACAGACTATCAATGTGAATGTCCATTTTGTTACTCAGGAACATTCTGCCAAACAGGTAAGTGTTAGTTACATTAGAGGGTCGGCAAGGGGTATTTTCGTAAGCCGTAATTAATTGTTTTTATTCTCGTAATAATGTAATTTAAATAAACAAAAAACATAGATTCGTAAAAATGGGCAAGGTGTTAAATGTAATCAGCTGTTTTATTCGTCCGTAATTTGTACAAAGATCTTATTTTTTGTAAGCGTATAAAGCATTTTCCACATTAAATTCTTACGCAATTTCCAATTTTGATTCTTCAACACAAATTATCAAATATATTATAAAAATGTAAAATGAATTTGCTTTATCTGTAAAGTGTAAAAACCTATTTTTTACTGTACGTGGAACTCTCATTTTATTTCCTGTAAAAACATAAAATGCCTTTTTTTATATCCTGTAAACTTTCCCAGCTATCCCCCCTTGCCGCCCTCCCCATATTACAATACGTGTTATGTACATTACAGTGTGTTACAGCAACTGCACATCATAACACATTTGTTTACATTACAATTCATTACATCATACGTCATATCCATCTAGATCATAGCTCAGTAAATTACAGTATAACATGTTGAAATTACTATAATGTTGTTTTCGCAAATTTGACTCAATGCACAAATTAACAGCATCCTAATTCAGCTTGCCAACAATCTCAGTGTCATCTTGAATTAGATAATTACCAATTAGCTGAATCAGCTAAAATAACATGTTAGCTATAAAGTCATATTGTTTTACAGTACATCACAAGACTTATTACATCACAGTGTAGATTAGATTAGATTAGATTAGATTACATTATATTACATTACATTACATTACATTACATTACATTACATTACATTATATTACATACCAGTTCATTATTACATTACATCATATAACATTTCTACATTACGCTATACATTATTGAAGTTTTTCTATATTATCTGTTATCAAGCAATTTTTTGTATAGTACCGGTACCCACGGTAAGTTAATGTGGTATATCACATGTGAATAGAATAACACTTAATACTTACATGTATACTTGATGTTTCTTTCAGCATTGAACCAATGTTCACCGAACCCATGTCAAAACCAAGGAATATGCTTACAAACTGCAGGGAGTTGTACCGATTATACTTGTCAATGTCAGGGCTGTTATACTGGAACACTGTGTCTTGAATGTGAGTAACGATATACTGCCAGTAGTATGACTATAAAGTGTATATTCTTTCTCATACATGTTTGTTCAGTCGTTCATGGGGTTGAATGTTTTTAATTGTGTTACTGTGTATTGTTTCCAGTGCTCAATCCGTGTAGTCCAAATCCATGCTTGAATGGAGGACTATGTCAACAAATTGGTGGTTCATGTCAATCATATCAGTGTCAATGCCAGGGCTGTTTTATTGGTACCAACTGTCAGCAAGGTGAGTTCATTTGCCATACAGTGGATATAATGCATCCAGTTAATTTTTTAATTTTGTGGCTGAAATGAATGTAGTATATTATAGTGTCTTTGTTGCATTATTATGTGAGTCTAATGAGATTATTATGAGAATACCTTGTATAATGGCAATACTGTGATTTATGCCACCGTGTATTCATGGTTTGAGACTGATCAAAGTACATGGAAATCCCTGGAACCTCACTTTGGATCTTTTGACTATTACAGTTGACAGGTTTTCTAACAAACATTGAACATTAACTTAAATACATTAAACTGCTTTCTCGTATTCGTATATTTCTTGTATTTTCAATCAATGAAGTAATTCCTTTCCGTTGCTACATTGTTTTTCATCCAAAGAATAAATAAGAAAACATTCAAACGAGTTCGTAACACATCTGTACAGCATTTTACCCATGGATAAATTAATGCTTTTGTGTTCATTTCCAGATGATTAATATACTTTTTTATTTTTATAGAACAAAACCCATGTGCTGGTAACCCATGTTTAATGGAGGCATATGTATTGTTACATCTTGCCAACAGTATCAGTGCCAATGTACAGGATGCTATACTGGCCAATCCTGCAGTACACGTAAGTTGTGCTACAGGTCACATGACCATTGTAGAATCGTTATTGATTTGCTTGTAACATCACTTACAACTCGTTTTTCTCCCGTGGCTTCCTTGACTACCAAACAAAAGACCGAAGTAAAAGTCAATCAATAATTTGTTTAATTAGCGGATTTTTAGTCTGTGTTCATTCATCACAGGATTCAGTTTTATTTACTGTAAAATACTTTATTTTCGTTTGGAATTAATTTTCGCTGGAGGAATGATTCAGTGAAAATAAAATCCAGCGAATATACCTTTTTAACTATATTTTACATTCAACTTGCCAAAAATCAGTGAAAATAAATTCCATACAAAACACCTAAAAAAGTCTTTTCAGTGAAAATTAATTACAGCTGAAATAAAGTATTTTACAGTAATTTTTTGACTTTGTGATGATTTAACCATATATGGTTCATGGCATTATACACCTTTTTCGAACATTTAGTTACAAATAGGTCACACATTCTGGTACTTTCTGGGGTGGGGGTCATATTTGTGTCTGTCAAATGTATGAATTTATTTTTTGGGTTACATTTGCCTGTCCAGGATCATTCTTGAACTTGTTCGAGGCCATTTTTTTTTCTGATTTGTACAAAGACAAGTCATAATAAAATACATAGGCATGTCGATTTGTTTATTGTTGACCTATTGACCTTTGCTCGGCTGGTGATCTGTTTTACCCCAAAACACACCAAAATTAACATCTAAAATATGTGATCAGGCATTCATTGGCCGATTTCATTTAAACTTGGTATTGACTTCAATCATATGTTGGGTTATTGATGTACGTAATTTTGTTTCATGATGGTCATTTTGATTTTCATGTGTCTTTAACCAATCCTCTTACATGCTTTGATGAATTTAGTTCAAAGATACAAAGATAAGACATAATGCTAGACATATACATGTTGATTTGTTTCTATTATTTTGATGACCTCTGGTGGCAACTGGTGGCCATTTTAGTTGCAAAAAAACAATACTTGAACATGTCAACAGCTATTTCTTAGGAATGTATTTGTTGATTGTATTTGACATCACATAGGATGGATTACTGATGCACTTCATTTGTTTGTTTGACTTAATTTAAATAGTGGTGGTGAATATTTGGTTTTTCATGGGTAAGACATGTTGATGTGAAATATTTCTTGTAATCCCCTCTAATACTTGATGCATCCCCTCTAATGCTTTGCATTCACAACCAGTTCTACATATCATATGTGGATTGAGAAAACGCAATGGAATAAATCTTATTTTTTCCAGTGATACAATGTACAATCAAATATATCTACTTTATTCAGTTATTCATAATATTATTAATTGTATCTAAGGCCATGTCTTTTTTTTTCAATCACAGGGACTGTGACATTTATGTTGTGTTACCCTTAACAACAATTTCCACCATAATATCTCTTATTTGCCATGTTTGTGAATTATTGCATTTATTGTTGTAATGAGGAAACAATTGTGAAAATTGTCATTAATATTGATTTTTCACTCCCAGAAAGTACTACCGATAGGATGTGTTATATTTCTTCTGGCAGGAAATGGCAACCTGGATGTTTGATGTTTTTTTCTTCTTGACAAAGAAGTAAAACTTATGAGTTTTCTGTGTTTTTTTTCCATATTACTCGCTTCATTTTTAAAATTACCTTAATTTGTCCCCGTGCGGACGTAGTCCGAAAACGGGGACTTATGTTTTGCCCTGTGTGCGTCCGTGCGTGCGTCCGTGCGTCCGTGATCACCTGTATCTCGAACATGCATGGACCGATTAAGTTCAAACTTCACTCATACATCACACATTATATGGGACATATGCACATGCATTTTTTTCAGGATCCGATTAACGATAGCCGAATAGCGGCCATTTTAAGGCCAAAAATGCATCAAAATCACACATTTTCACCATTCCGGACCCGGATCTCAGTTATGCATGGACGGATTTCGTTCAAATTTGGTACATACATTAAACATAATAGGACCTTGATGCACGTCATTTTTTTTTTTGGATCGGGTTTGAAATGGCCGACTGGCGGCCATTTTGTTTTAAAGAATTCAGTTCTGGATATGTATCTGAGACATGCTTGGATTGATCAAGTTCAAACTTCACACACACAAGTACATCATGTCACAATATGTATGTGC